GGGCTTTAGCACTTGTTTGGACTGTGGTGGCACTGTTGTTAATCCCCCTCTTGCTCAGGTTGGCTTATATTGATATATGTGAAAAATCCATTTTCCTTGTCGGTTGATTAATTTTATTGTTGAGTTTGATTTATTGTTGAATCAATGGAAATGATTTTCACTTATCAATTGTTTTCTCAACCAGTTAGCAAAAGTATACAAACTTTGTCTTGTTTGTAATTTCTAAAGGTTGCTAATTGTGAAAAGAGCTATCCTACGGAGAAAATATGGTATCAAAGCAAGAGGCCATACTTTCAAATCTCACCTTTACCTTGATTATTATGATACTTGCGTATGCTAAGCTAGAATCTAATCCGCACATGAAGGGGTGTGTTGAAGTATGAAAGCTTGCACACTTGATTTTTAACAGAATAAGTTTTTGGAGTAGATGGTGGTTTAACATAGTATCATTGAGGGCCTTGGGCAGTTGGTGGGTTAAGTTTTGTCACCCATTTAAATTCCCTGGTCTATTTATCTGTCTATTTCAGTTCATCTCCAGTTTGTTTGTCCATCTGCCTCAGTTCTGTTAGTTAGCCTACACGAAGAGAGGGTGTGAAAAGAGCTATTCCACAGATAGTTTATATACTTGATGGGCCACTACACCAATTGCCAACTGGTTTTGGATTAGATCGTCTAACACTAATCTAGGATATGCTCTTTCTAGATATTTGTTTCGACAAATCCTAACCCTGAGATTCTGTAAGCACTGAGGATATTTTTTACTGTTCTTAGCCAATTTAGTTTGCGTTCCTTTAAAATTTTGGAGGGCTCTTGATGAGCTCAAGACTTGTCATTGATGTTGTTTACTTTTAGGATATTGAAGCAATCAAGGTGTGACCAAGGTAATTGGTAGTGTGACCAAGGTAATTGGTAGTCAGAAGTCAACTTACTCGTTTCTCCTGATCAGTTCACATTTTTTTTGACTATTGGGTGCACACATGCCTTGCACGTGAACTATTTTAAGGTATAGTTTTGTTGGTAATGTTAGCTCAAAGTTCAGGATTACAACATAACAGCCTAACTAGCAAACTTTGTCCCGCACAAGTTTCAATCAATTAAGGAATGTTTCACTCAAATGAATACATCACATAAATGAGTGAAACAAAACATAAGTCCATTGCTTAACTTAATACACAAAATAAAATTCACATGAGTTAAATAGTTGTGGTATCACTCCATTGCTATGTCCAATTGCTTCTTTGTTTGTAATATTTCAACCAATAACGAAAATGAAAATCAAAGAAAATTATTTAATTTTTTTGTCTAAAAATTTATCTTACATATGAGCAAAAGAGTGCTAATTCTTAACGGAATCATAAACAATCATGTTATTGTAGTCATTGAACAATCAATAATATACTTGGGAGTGATTCACATAAAGGGTTTCTAGGATCATATTTATAATTGGCTAATTTCGTGAAGTCTTTTTTGTAAATCTCAATCTATTTCATGGTCATAATACAAAGTTGAAGATCCGAAAACGTCAATGGAAGGGAAGGAGATGGTACTTCAAGCAATATCAAGAGATTCACCATATATAGCTTCTTGCTTAGGACAAATGTAATGACTATAGAGATCTAAAAACTTTTGGTTAATTTATTGGACTTAGGATGATTAGAGTTAAAATGGTATCGGTGATTAATCCGAATATGACTTCTAGGTATTTTCAAATTTTTTTTTTCTAAATCTTCTCGTGTTTTGAAAATATAAATTGAGTCATAATTGGACCCTATTAAGTAACACTCTTTAGTTGTCAAGAGCATAAATTGTTTACTTGATTTTAGGCTTAAAAAATAGTAGGGATCGTCCTATGTTCACTAGCCTTCGTTAGAGCGGTCTCAGACCACTTAGGGATAAAATCAGAAAAGGTTGAATGAGTGGACTGGAGAGACCGCCCTCTGAGTAGCTCGAACGGTCTTAGCTCTACTATTATGTTTGAATCCTTTTTTCATTCCAGTAGCCACCGCCCTCTCACTACTCAAGCGGTCGCTAGCTAATTTGTATTTTCTTGGTTCCGAAGACAAATGCTATTTTGAACCTATAAATAGGGGCGTCTTTCTTATGTTAGGATAAGCATCTTGGGAGTAAATTCAGACTATCTAAGACCTTGAGAGCTTGTGAGCAATTGTAAATCTTGAAAATATAAATTGAGCCATAATTGGACCCTATTAAGTAACACCCTTTAGTGGTCAAGAGCATAAATTTTTTACTTTATTTTAGGCTTAAAAAATAGTAGGGATCGTCCTATGTTCACTAGCCTTCATTAGAGCGGTTTAAGAGCACTTAGGGATAAAATCAGGAAAGGTTGAATGAGTGGACAGGAGAGACCGCCTTTTGAGTAGCTCGAGCGGTCTCAGCTCTACTATTATGTTTGAATCCTTTTTTCATTCCAGCAGCCACCGCCCTCTCACCACTCTAGCGGTCGTTAGCTAATTTGTGTTTTCTTAGTGTCGAAGACATATGCTATTCTGGACCTATAAATAGGGATGTCTTTCTTATGTTAGTATAAGCCTCTTGGGAGTAGATTCAGACTATCTAAGACCTTGAGAGCTTGTGAGCAATTGTAAATCCCTAAATCCAAAGGCTAACCCATATTGTGATTCGTATTCAAACTCACATTGGAGAAGAAGAATTTTCTTTGTTCTACCAAACTCACTTGTTGAGGCTGTATATCGAGGATCTTGGTGGAGAAGATTGCCTGAGGCCTAAATAACCCGTGTGGCGGGGAGTTTAAGTGAAACTATCCATAACGTCGAAGAGAGAGTTTCGGCGGAGAGATCTATTCAAGGAAAGAAGCGTCTTAATCATGATATTGGTTAAGATATAAGACTTAAGTACTTGTAGATTGACATTGGGATAGTGGATTAGGCTTGTGTTTATATTGTTTATTTGTACACACTTGTGATTTGTAGCACACACGCATACTATGTGTTTGACGTTATGATTGTTTGATCTATCATTCCATTCATAATAGTTTGATATATTGTTACATTGGAAGAAATTTGCATTGTTGTGAGATTGAGTGTTAATTGAACAAATTGGAATGTTCATAGACAGGTTCATTTGTGAAGAGGTTATTGTGGTAAATATAAGTTAAAATTGATGGTTGTCTGTGCGAAATTTTTAATTAACCTATTCACCCCTTCTAGGTAGTGGCTAGCATTCCACGTGTTTCATCGTGAGGGAAGATCCACAGTATCTCTCTCCTAACAAGGGTGAAAAAATATTTATTAATTCTTTCTGGTTAAAAAATTAACCTATCCAGCCCTTGTAGATAGTGGCTAGCATTCCATGTGTTTCTTTGTGAGGGAAGATCCACAGTATCTCTCCTAACAAGGGTGAAAAAATATTTATTAATTCTTTCTAGTTTGTGTGGTGTTAATCCACTTATTTAATGATACCATCTATACACCAATTCTACAATAATCCACAGTGGCCCAAAGCACATTCTTTGACAAACCTTAAAACTGTTAGCAAAAAAATTCGAGCAAACATAAGTGATGGACAATGTTACTAAGCTACAAATAATTGCATAGATGTTTGATACATGATCACATCACCTAGTTCAATAAAATTATTTAAAATCTCAAGTGTGAGACAAGCATGGTACAACTATCGATACTCCTAATTGGTCCTAAACAACTCTTTACTTTTGGCATTAGAAAACCTACTACAGTCGAAACAACTCGCACACGTCTTACGTTGTGGATGAATGGGCAGCTAGAAAGATACTGCAAACCTTCGTTATGGTCAATATTGTGCTAGGTATAATTGTTTAAAGAATCAGTTCATGAAGAAAGGAAGCTCCTTACTTTTTTCTTGTATGCTCTTCTCTTTGCATAATACTATTGTAGACTCTGAGCACGGGTTATTCCTTATACACTCGAAGCCTGTTCAATTTCATCTCCCATTGTTTGCTTCTATGATCCTAACTATTTTCACTTGGAAAAAACTGAAAATTCACTTAGTCTTTTTTCTATGTTAATGGATAGAATTAGTTTCTAATGGGATGTCCTTCTGTTTTCAATAAGAAACATGCAATCAACAAAAACAATAGAAATCTATAGCAATAAAAAAGATAGCAACTTAACATCAAACTTCCTTTTATGAGTCAAAACACTTGCCTCAATATTTGCTTAATTTGAGGGTATGCAGGTCAACATACTTGATGCTATCCAGTACTACAATCCATCGATCAATTGGACATGTTCTTCCCCAAGCTACAAAATTTTCAATCATTTCACTGCATTCAATGAATAAAACCAAACAACAAGAATTCAAAAGAATGATTTCAAATAAATCTGAGGCATGTGATTATAAGAATGTAGCATATAATCACCCTTTCTAGCCTTGGACGACATGGAGCAAACTTCACATTCTTCAAGTTCTTGCATAATAATGTCACGTAAGTTGCCTACCACTAACCAAGACAAACCTACCTTCAATAAGATCCACAAAGATTATTAGATACAAAAATCAAGAAATGAATGAACTCCACAGAATTTTGATTGCGGATCCAAAAAGCACTAGGGAAGAGTAATAAGAAGCCAATATAAAAAGGGGGAAGAGTAATAGAAAGACAATATGAAAAGGTTAGAGAGTGATGATTGAATTTATGATGGGAAGATCAAGAACGTTATATATCAGCTACCGGTAGTGAACCACTCATTTCTAACCATTAAACAGTCTACATCCTTAGCATTATATTCTCTTTACATTTTTTTTCCTTCTTAGAGTAAAATAAGTATTCAAAATTTTTTCAAGATGTTAACATTTAGTAGTAGTCTAGATATGGATAGATAGACAGATATAGATAGATGTCACACACTATATATATAGTCTGTTTAGCTTCTTGTTTTCTATATATAGAGGAAGAGGGATAAACTTTTAGGAGTCGTGCCCCTCCATCTCTCTTGTTAACATAAATTCATAAACTGATAATTTAATTCAGAGAGTAGAACATGAGGAGTACGTCCTAAATGGTATTAATAGAGTTAATAAAGGTTGTATTGTGTTGTCTTTATATATTTGTTCAAGGGTAATGACAAAAATTAGTAGTTGTTCTTACTCCTTGATATTTAAAAGTAGTGTAGATATAGATTTACCAAGATTCACATAAAAATAATTAATTTGTATGTTTTCGGTCTTGATAAGCTCGGAGAAGATTTCCCACGTATAAGGTGTAAATATTTTCATATTAGTGGAAGCACATGAAGCCAATGAATTAGAGATTGATCACTTCATTGATATGAAATAATTCATTCCAGTAGATAGGGACTTCCATTAGAAATTTTACAGTTTGCTATTATAACGTGCCATGGTTATCTCAAAAGATTCATTCCACAAAGGTAGCAGGGAAGCTGGAGATGCAGTTTTAATGGAAGAAAGCGGTAATGGATCTGCAATTTGGGGATAATACGATGTTCTACATGAAATCTTATTATAAGAGCTTGTGATGCCTAAGAACACTGACCATGTGCTTTCAAAGTAGAGTGCTAACCTTGGAAAGTAGGCCTAGAAAAGAAAAAGAGGTTGGAGTTCCACAAACTTATATCGGAGAATATGGAGTGCGCCAAAAAAAGAATGTGCTTTTAATTTCAAGTCGAAGTCCACATGTGTTAGTCAGATAGGCTAAGGTTAAAATAAGTAATAATTCATGTTTTGCCCATTTTTTAAATCAAAGCTCTTGGTAAAACACTCTTATTCATTGGTACTGTAATACTAATAGGTCCCCTATAGATATGTCCAAACCACCTCAGTTAATTATTTGTTAACTCATCTCTTGTACAACTCCTAGTATTTCACAATTAAGTTCATTCCGAATTCGATCTTCATTGGGTTTTATCACATCCTCTTAACCTTCATATTTCAGTCATGCTTAGTTTTTGAGCATATTGTCTAGTTTTAGACCAAAAAAGACATTAGACTAGAAGAACATGTAGTTTCTGAAACAAAGAATTCAATGAGGAAATAAATGAGAAGAAACCATTACAAAGTATGTGAGAGATTCCTAGGAAAGATATTCCCTGGTTACAAAAGTATAAGAATTCTTGGGGATGGACAAGATGAAGCCTTAAGCAAATTAATGAAGACATTACACAGTTTTTGAGTTTCATTTTCCTTGTCAAGGTGATTAATTAATTCTCAAAACCAATGCCTCAAATTTATGATGGGCTGCTGCCCACTCCATTATTCCTCAATCGAAAGAATAAAAGCAGCTCGACTTCCACCTTCATATGTCCCAAGCTTTAGTGAATTGATAGTTGCTTGCTCTAGGTTTGAAAGCTAGATACCCACCCAAGTAAGAAGAGGGGTGCTTACACTTCCAAAAAACATATATGTGGCCTGTTTGGATGCAAAATAGAAAATGAATAGCATAATTTTGATCTCCAAGGTGAAATGCCCATCAAAGGCAAAAACAGGAGAAATTTCATGATTTAACCTTCTGTGAGCGTCTGAGTGGACAATACTTATATTATTTTTGTGGCTTCATGGTATCAGAGTTGTCTTAAGAGGCTTGTATATCAAATCTCAATCGTTTGTTTCCTATTAGTTAACAGCATTGCATTGTGTGTTCCTTTAAGTAAATTGGTTTACTTATAGGATCAGTATGAGTGTTGGTCTCTCCACGTGCAAGCCTGGATAGTATGAGTGAGAAAGCAAGATAGTGCTCGTCCCACATAGTATGATATGGTGTCCCAATCTAGTACATTAGTTATATAGGGATCTCTAGTCACTACCTTTTTTTTTGAGTTGAATGTTGTTGAAGTATAAATACTAAAGTTACCTCCTCTCTAAAAGCTTAAGCTTTTAGAGTAGATAGTTGTTTAACATAGTATCAGAGCAAGCCAATTACCTTGCTTAGATTCCTCTTCTTTCTCTATTCTTTCTTCATTTCATTTTTCTCTTTTTTGTTTGTCTCTTCTTCTTATGTTGACAGAGACCTATCTGTTGAGGAGTTGTTGATGGCTAGGTGTTGAGTTTCCTAGACCTAGTCGTTTATCGTCTGCAAAATTGCTACCCGTGTGTTGTTGTTGCAGAGTGGATTGATCGAGACTTTGATGACGATTTGTCTTTAACGTTGTTCTTGGTTGATGTGTTTGGTTGTGGGTTTGTGATTTATAGCCGTGATTGGTGTAGTGATTCTTTGGTTGAGTTTTTCATTGTCGGTGACGACGTCACTGTGTGTGGGACGACTAGTTTGTTGAAGAAGGGTGGTGTTTGGTTATAGGCCAAAGCAAGTCCTATCTTGGATTAGTGTATCCAGATTTTTTGATTGGATTGAACCCGGTCCAGCCCAGCCTAGTTTTTTTTAGTGAAGCCCACTTAACTTTTTGGCCCATTTGGTTAAGCAAATTAGGCCCTCAGCACAAATCTGGTTCATGACAGGCTGATTCAGACTCCATTTAGACTGTGTTGAAGTATAAATACTTAAGTTACACCCTCTCTAAAAGTTTAAGCTTTTGGAGTAGACGGTTGTTTAAACATGGTATCAGAGTAGGAGGCCTTATGTTCGAATCTCGCTCTCACCCTAATTATTAAAAGAGTTTTCACATGTTAGGTCCAAAATTTAACCTGCACGTGAGGGGGCGTGTTGAAGTATAAATATCTAAGTTACACATTCTCCAAAAGTTTAAAGCTAAACAATTGCTTCACTCTTCCATGCTACGATGAACTCGGTTAAACTCAGAGTAGTAATTATGTTCTTTGGGCCTGGTCGATTGATGTTGTCCTTAAGGGAAAAGGACTTCGTATACATTTGGTGGAAGACAAACCAAAAGAAAGTGACTTGGGTTTTGCGTAGTGGGAACAAGAAGATGCACTTATTATTTCACTCATGTTGAATAATATTGAGCCTCATATTAGTTCTTCCTTACTTTATCTGGACACTGCTAAGGAGATAAGAGATCAATTAACTCAGATGTATTTTGGTACCGACAATCTTACTCGAATTTATGAGGTGTGCAAGCAATATTTTAGTCTTGATTATGGTACTTTTAGTCTTGAAGAGTATTTCTCTAAGGTTATGGGATCTGTTGAGAACTTCGGATGTATAAACCTATTACATCTGACATTTCTTGCATGCAGCAACAACATGCGAATCTTGATGATGTTTGGTTTTTAGTTGGGTTGAAACTAGAGAATGAGCCTATCCATGCACAGGTGTTGGGGAGTCCTAAATTTCACTCTTCTAGACATCTTTTCCAGACTTCAGCGAGCTACATTGTCAGAACAGGGCTTTTCTCCCAGTATTGAGCATATTGGTGATCATTTTGCTTTAGTTGTTTCTCAATGTGGATCTAGTGGTTCTTGTGGAAGTTGTGGTGGTAGAGGAGGACGTGGTAATCGTGGTGGTTCTAGTAGCTCTCGTGGCGGCTGTGGTGGTGGGGGAGGTTGCAAATGTACTCATTGTGGTCGTAGTAATCATACTGTAGATTTCTGTTGGAACTTGCATGGTAAACAATCTGGCTCGGCTCATCAGGCTTCTTATCCAGTGGATCCCCCATTTGCGGTCCCACCTAATGGATCTGCCAACCACATTTTTTAATCTCATTACTATTTCTGGAGATGAATATGCTCAATTCTTGTCTCAAAAACTTGGCTAACTCAGGTACGATATTTGCTTGTTTACTTTTTTTCAATCTAGCCCGTGGATGATTGATTCCGGAGCTTCCGATTATATAACTGGTTCGTCTAGTCACTTGTCTAATTTTCACCCAGTTGCCTTGTCTTGCCATGTTACATTTGCTTATTGCTCATCTTCTCAAGTTTCAAGTTTGGATACTATGCAGCTTAGCTCTTCTCTCTCCTTATCTTCTGTTATGTTTGTTCCTCAATTTCCTTTTAGTTTGCTATCTATTAGTAAGATCACTTGCTCTTTTAATCGGTCCGTAACGTTTTATCCTTCGATTTATGTCTTTCTGGATATCAAGAAAAAGAAAATGATTGGTATGTGGCATGAATTAGGTAGCCTCTATTATCTTGACTTTGAGCCTCCTCCTAGTGCATTCCAGACCCTACTATCCCCTCTTCAGTGGCATTGCTGGCTTGAACATCCATCCCTTTTGATTTTGAAGTCTTAAGTTCTTAGTATTAGTCATGTGTTATCTTTGTTTTGTGAAGCTTGTTAACTTAGTAAGCACCATCGAGTCCCGTTTAAATCTAGGATTGATAATCGTGTTTCTACTCCTTTTGAATTAGTTCATTCTGAAGTATGGGGGCCTCCCACCTATTCTTCTATTAATGTTCCTTATTTTGTGACCTTTGTGGATGATTACTCTCGTATGACTTGGTTATTTTTAATGAAATCTCACTTAGAATTGTTTTTATCTTTCAACTGTTTCACAAGCAAATTAAGACACAATTTGGTTGCAATATTCGTATTTTACGATCTGATAATGTCAAAGAATATACCTTTAATCCTTTTTAGGCTTATTTTGATCAATGAGGTATCGTGCATTAGACTCCTTGTGCTTATACACCATAACAAAATGGTGTAGCCGAGTGCAAGAATTGTCATTTGTTGGATGTCACCTGAGCACTCTTATTTCATATGAATGCTCCTCCCCCTTTTTGGCATGATGTTGTGTTGTCTACTTGACATCTTATCAATCGTTTGTCCTTTACTATCTTACTAGGAAAATTTTCACATTCGGTCTTGTTCCCTAAATCTTCTTTGTTGCTTTTCCTCCAAAAGTATTTGGATGTGTCTGTTATGTCCTCAATCTTGGTCCTGGTTTTGATAAGCTTAACCCTCGGGCTACTAAGTGCATCTTCCTTGGTTTCTCTTGTACCTAGAAAGGCTACCGATGTTATAGTCATACTCTTTGTAGGTACTTCATTAGTGTTGATGCTATCTTTTGGGAGTCTACACCTTATTTTCTTGCTCCTATTGTAGCTTTTGAGGGTCCTATTGAGTTGTCGCCAGTGTTAGCCCCACTTCCACTTCCGGCTCTGGTTCCTTTATTCTCTGTTCCTCCGTTGTCCTCCCACCTCCATTCGTGTTTATTCTCGTCGATCAAGGCCACTTGTTACAGCTCAACCGTCGGCTTCCTCGTCATCTTCATATCTGACCTCTTTTACTGTGTCTAATTCTCTACCTATTATTCTCCGTAAAGATACTCGTTCCTGTGTTACTAACCACCCCATTACTAACTATGTTTCTTCCTATTTTTTATCTCTTTCGTTTTCTTGTTTTACTTCTCAGTTATCCAATATCTCTGTTCCTAAGACTTTATCAAATGCCTTATTGGATTCGGGTTCGAGGGCAGCTATGTAGGACAAGATGAATGTTCTCCATTACAATCATACTTGGGATCTTGTTTAGCCACCTCTTGGTAAGCAAGTCGTTGGGTGCCGTTGGGTATATACCATTAAATTTCTTCCTGATGGTACTGTAGATTGTCTCAAAGCTTGTTTGGTTGCCAAAGTCTATTCCCAAACCTACTGTGTTGGCTATTCTGAGACATTTTCTCCGGTTACTAAAATCTCTTTTATCAGAGTTTTAATTTCGCTTGTTGCCAGCCCTTATTTCAATTAGATGTCAAGAATGCTTTCCTACATAGTGATCTAGCAGAAGAGGTTTAAATGGAGTAACCACTTGGGTTTGTTGCTCATAGGAGTATCAGGGCCGTGTGTGTAAACTAAAGAAAGCCTTGTATAGGTGGAAACAATCTCCGCGTGCATGGTTTGTGAAGTTTTCAAAGGCAATGCTAAAGTTTGGTCTTCATAGGTGCCAAATAGATCACTCAGTATTTCATCTATGAATTGAGGCGGGTAATATTCTTGTTGTTTATGTTGATGATATTGTGATTACTGGTGATGATTTAATTGATATTGTAAAGGTGCAACAGTTCTTACAAAATCAATTTCAGACCAAAAATTTAGGCAAATTTAGGTACTTTCTTGGTATCGAAGTTGTTAGATGTAAACAGGGCATAAGCCTATCCTAGAGAAAATATGTGTTTGATCTTTTAGAGGAAACAGGGTTTTTAGATGGTCAACCAATTGACATTCCTATAGATCCCAATCATAAACTCTCATGGAGTAAGGGTAAATGTTTCTTTGATCCTAAATGGTATCACCGTCTAGTTGGAAAGTTGAATTACCTCACTATTACTCGACCAGTTATCTCATTTGTATTGCGTGTGGTTAGTCAATTTATGGAGACTCCTTGAGTACCACATTGGGATGTCGTCATTCATATTATTTGTTATCTCAAGCAAGCTCCCGGACTGGATGAGCATCTTCAATTGGAAGGGTTCACAAATGCAAGATTGGATAGGGTTTCCTTAAGATAGACATTCTACCACAGGATATTGTACCTTTCTAGGAGGCAATTTGGCTAAGAAGTAGACAGTGGTCACACAATTTAGTGTAGAGGTTGAATACCGGGCAATGCCTCACACATACATTGAGTTAACGTGGCTAGAATACTTCCTTCAGGAAATCCGATTTCCAGTTCAAACTCCATTATAGTTGTTCTGTGATAACCAAGTGGTTATTCAAATAGGTTCTAATCCTGTGTTTCATGAACGAACGAAACATATTGAAGTTGATTGTCACTTCGTTCGAGAAAAGGTGTTGCATGGAGACATTATCACACTATTTGTGAAATCTGAAGATCAACTTGCTAATGTGTTTACTAAATCCTTGAGTAGTACTCGTTTGAGAAATTACTCGTCAGCTTCGGGGGGAGTGTTGGAACAAGACCGACACGTGAGGAGGTGTGTTGAAGTATAAATAATACAGTTACGCCCTCTCGAAAAGCTTAAGTTTTTGGAGTAGATAGTTGTTTAGCATATGTTATATTGGAGGAGAAGAAACGGTATTCTCCGGGAAACATTTCCTCTATATTGATCTCATAGAGAACAAGCCATTTTTACTTTCTTTCGAAAAAACTACATCCTCAATTTATTGTCCAGAGTGGAATAAGATGTTTGAGATACCTATAGCACATTGAATAATGACTATGAGAATTGATGGAATACACTATCCATGGAAGCAAGTTCCCCAATTGTAAAACTAGAGTAATGTTACATTGACTAAAAAATGAGACAAAAAATAGTGATCAAATGATGTGACATTATAAAAATGGTATTGTTCGTTTTACTTTTACACATTTAAAATTCAAATTTACTTGCCGAAAAATAAAAAAGTTCCCCAATGGTACATGATTTTCAGCCGCAGTTAAATTTTAAAGAATGGGATATAACTGGGGTGGTTCATCAAATCTACCTTCTATGTTTTAATTTCACTTTTGTACCATTCCCTACTTTGGATTAATGGCTTCCAACCACCTGTAAACTTTGGTGCCTACTACCGCTTCCCTCTTTCCACCCTCTAGCAAACATGTCACTTTGTGTTTCTTTTTGAACGAAGTAAACCTGGATTGTCTACTTTCTTTTCACTTCTTGTTTTTTGGGTTTTTCCTCCCTTGGATGTGGCTTTTCTTGGTTTATTTTTTGTCGGTGGGCGGGGGTGGGGAAAAGGGGGTGCTGTGAGTGTTGGAACAATAATTTGAAATATTCAGTCTTCTAATTGATATAAAATATGCTAATATTTGGGAGAGAAATCAAACATGGTGCCTGAAGTTTATCTAGACTGGATGATAGTAAGTCAATATGGTGGCTGAAGTTCATTGACAGTAGATGCGGCAGTGGAACAAAAGGCGGTGGAATTTTCTATATGAAAAATAGAGCTTACTGCTTGTATGAAACACAACAATGGCCCGAATCATTTAGGTTTGATTGCTTATTTTACGACTTACATTTTAACTTAGCGGTGAGCCCTGCATGTATATAGTGTGTACTGCATTCTGTTTTTTGGTCCTTTCAATTTAATTATCATTTCTTAATTTCCACAGATCATAACTATTGAACTGCTTGATACAACCTTGTGGATTGTTCTTTGATGACAACTTTATTATCATCGCAGTTTGTGAAGATTTTCAAGCTCAGTCTCACGCTCACAATTTCTGCGATGATGCAACTCATATGTATATATTAGAGCAGAGCATTGTGGCAAGTAGTCTCAGAGGACAGCATTGTAGTTGCATACCAGACAATGAACATTTATGTATATTAGAATACTGTCTATGAGGCCAAATGCAGGATAATGTACACAATATTTCCTATTAATGCATTTGGTTGTGCTATCCTGTAAATTGGTTTCAAACCACCCACTTCTAGTTTTGTGGAACTGAATAATAGCAGCTTGACTTCCAGTTTCACATTGCATTTTTGGTTATGTTTCATTTTATATTGGGTCTGGACCACATACTCCTGGCTTTCTGAATGAGCTGAAAGTAGCTTCTTCACTTTCAGCTTTACATATCCTGAGCTTATTTACTTAGGTAAATTTATGATTTGTTGCCCAGAAGTTGAAGACAAGGTTGTTTGGACGCTTTACCCAGATGGACATTGAAAGTCCATAACAGCCTCGAACCTGATTAGGCAGACCCACCCTGAAGTAGATATCCAAATCAAACAATGAGCACTCACTGGTTGTGCAATGAACAAAGACGGTTTGTTTCCACGAAACCTGGATCATTTGAAGGAATCTTGTCTCGAAAATACAAATTTTGCATTATCCTAGATTGTAATCAGTCCTAACATGTAAACAACACTATGAGAGTCATCTAATTGATGTCTTTGAAGGTTACAACTGATATTAACTGCATTATTTTACTACTTGTTGGATGCTCAGACTCACCAATAGTCTTGTACAAGGGAATACGCATTTTACATGTTCAGCAAACTATGTCACTTGACCCAGATGTTATATTTCTCAAGGAAGACCTACCTGAAAAGAGAAGCATAAGTAAAGTGACAGGACACAACATTTTGCAAATGCAGCAAACATACCTTTATCCCCAAGATCTGTCAAAAGGTTTCTGTAGGGGATTTGTCCGCGCGTTCGAGATGTCCTCTCCCACGAAGGATTTTGGTTGATCTACGTGCGTTCAGCAGTAGCCTCCATATGAAGTCCAGACTTATATGGCGGGGGGGGAGACGACTCTCTTCCGATGTGGAACATGCACCCAGCTGGCGAAGAGGGGTAAAGGCTACTGCCGAACGCGCGTAGGTAAGCCAAAATCCTTCATGGGGGAGGACATCCCGAACGCGCGAATAAATCCCCTACAGTTTCTATCCAGGCTGGCCCAGATACTATGTTGACCGATTTGATTACTGCTCGAAGTAAACTGCTGACAGAAATAAAGGCCGAAGTGTACAGCCTTTCCTTGTACATGCCCGCTAATGATCTGTTAACCTATCGCTGGGTAAGAAGAAACTACGAAAATATCTAATACAGAGCAACACCACGTAAATATTCTAAACAAGAGAAGTCAGTCTTTGAATTGGAGCAGGAAATAAGGAATGGGTATTGACATTCTTAAGCCCCTTCCTTGGGGCCAATCCTCATAACAAAACATGCTCAAAAAACAAAGCCCAAAGCAATTTCTGTTCTCACACTAAGGCGAGACAAGGGAAAGTAATAGCTATCACCACAGGGAATGTCAAAGCCCCGATCTGGCAAGCCCAAATCAGAACCAGGGAGGTAAAAGTGAGAGATGCTGAAAGTTCCCCCTCACATGCTATTGGGTAGCAAAAGTTCGAACTTTAGAACTGCCAAATAGAACTGATAATAAGTTTTCAATAGCAACAGAATATAAATAAACAAAAGCAGCGGTATTTTCCTAATCTAACTTCTCTAAGCAGATATCTCACAAACAAGGACAATTGGTCTGTAACTATAGCACCATAAAACAGACATTTAACAATGATAGTGTAACCATACAATATTCGAAGTTCCAACACATAAAAGCCATGTACCATTACAATCTTATTCTTGATACTTCAAACATAGCGTGGAAAATATGTCCTGCAAATAGGAGATTTTGAAAAGCAATCACACCACAACGTAATTTGAACCATAATGCAAAATATAAGGTGATAATATCATGGAATAGTCTTTACATCAACGGCCAATATCCAGAGAACCATGTGGGGGAATTCATTATACTTCACCAAAAGTACATATTTTAAGGACACAACAGCAGCCAAAAGAAAGGCATCAACGACCAATATCTCCTAATGGTGGTCGAGAGCGTGTCCAAGAGAAGTGCACTTCAGACAAACATCATTAACTCAGGCCTACTGAATATGTTATTCTCGTCGTCCTCCAATATAGGGTAAGCAGCCACAAGTGCATCCTGAGAACCAATGTACAGCGAATTGTAGATTTTCCAATACACTTCCCTAACCTTCCTTGCCGGATGGAACAGTCCCTGAAGACAGTAATTAAGCACAACAGCTGCGCCCAATGCCACTCTCATACCTTCAATGGCTTCCATAACAGCATTTATAACATGTGGGGATGTCTCAAAAATGTTCGGCCAAACATAATTCAGCAAATGAATCAAAGCATCCTCACAACCCAAACCAGCCACCCCCAAAGCCATATGCTTGACAGCAGAAGCAGCAGTCTGTCGATGAACCAAGTCCCTGTCCATTAGAGCATCCTCAAGTAACGGAGTCACTGCATATATGTAATCTTTGCCCATTTCACCTATGTACTCAAAGAGGAAGGAGAGTGATTTCAGAACACCGTTCTGGACATTAAGCTCTGGCACACGATATTCATTCATCAGGGCAGGCAAAACCGTAAAAGGAGAACATGTTTCTGCAACAATTGCGATTGCCACAGTAGTGCAAACACGGTTCTGGCGCTCCTGCACCTTGAGATTGTTCAACAATGTGGCCAGGACATCTTGTGGCCCAATGGCTTTAGCAATGTACCCAAAAGTGTTGACCGTTGCTCGCCGAATACCCTTCTTGTGAGCTTTAAGCATCTCAAGTAGCTCAAAACAGATCCTCATCCACTCCCTTGCAGGAACAAACTCAGCACCACGGTCAGCAATACGACCTACAAGATCAATACAATTTTCCTGGACCTTCTCATGACGGTTCTTCAGGATTGGAGTCAACCGAGGAAGCAGGTCCTTAATTGGGGGAGTCATCTTAGTCATACCAATAACATTGACAATCGCCTTGAGAGCTCCCAGTATTGATCCCAAAACCTCTGGATACTCCTCTCCCAAGTACTCATACAAGACAACACCAAGATGGCCCATCAGTTGTTCTTCTTGGCATTGCTTCATGACCACAGCAATCCTGGATATGAGATCTGCTGCTTGTTGTCTCACCTTTGCACTCTTATTATTCAGGCGCCACTTGATGGTACCACATATCTGAGGAAGGTATGGCTTCACTCTCTGCCCAAGAGCATTAACAACTGCACCAAATCCATTAAGCATCACATTAGCATCATCGCTGGTCTGCTCTTGGAAGGCATAAAGAATTCCATCGATCAAAAGCTCTTCTAAGCGAGCATCAATATCAGATGCACCCAGATTTGCAACCACCTTCTCAATTGTCTCCATAACCATTCGCCTATATGGTTCACTTTCATCCTTAAGGTCCTCAACTATCCTCCCAACAATGTCAGCAACACCAACTTTGTTTGCTATCTCCACAGTTGTCTCAACAAGCTGCTTATAATTTCTCCGATCCAAAGCCATCCTTCTGACCCAAAAGTTTCGGAAGAACTCAGGAAGTATGTCATTTCTGATGTAATCGGCCTCCACACCCTCTGTACCCACGCACTGCTTCACCACTTTGATCACAATTTTTTTCATTTCTTCATCAGGCGACTGAAACTCACGAATCAAAATAATCATCACCTCCTTGGTATAGTAACTGGCATAGATGGCATCCATCAGAGGAATGATGAAACCAATGGCCTTCAAGAAGGCAGCCAAGACTTTCCCACGGTGTGACCTGATACCCTTCCACAAAGGCTTCAAAACCGAATCAAAGCTTTCTATACCATATGGGGCAGCAGCTTCAGCAAGGGCAGCCAAAGATAGAGCTGTGATAGTTCTGACCTTCTGATTCTCATCATTGAGCCCATGTTCTATGATTTCCACAAGAGACCTCAAGTGTGGAAGAACAGCACAGCCAATCAAAATAGCAATCTGCTGAACGATCTTGATACCAGTGTGACGAGCTTGCCATGATTTCTTACTCTGACACACAGCTTTCAGAAAAGGTAACAATGCAGGAATTCCTAGGGCAGATGCAACAACACTAAAGGCTCTTGCAGTTGTGTTTCGCACGTACTCATCAATGTTATCGATATCAGGACGCATTGCGGCAATCATGGTGGCCAAGCCGGCTGCCTTACTGAGATTGGAAATAATCTCTCTGCCTTCAACACGGGCATAATAGTCCTCATCAATCAACAAAGGCTCAATCACCACCAGAATTTTGTGCACGTAAGGTCGGACCATCTCATCCAACTTATATAACACTCTGTCAATGACCTTCACCAGAAGATGTCTCTCTTGATCTTCCAAAGTGGGTTGCATGAGCAATGGCAAAATACGATTGAACAAGGGGCCCGCACCAAACTCTCTAGCCTTGTCAGTTAGCTGCCTCAAGGCTGTTTTCCTCTGTGGTGGTGTCCCATTCTTAACTTTGAGCAATAGTTTCATAATCTTCCGCTCTTTCTGCTCATCGGGAGACAGCTCTTCTTCATCTTCTTCATTCAACAATGAACCAAAGTACTGGTAGTCCTCTGGCTTCATGAATGGCAAACCACCAGGCAATTCCTTTGGAACATCAAACTGCTGGCCCCTATTTTCTTCAGGAATGGAATACAGAGGAGTCCCAATAGGAGTTGGTGTTGCAAGAAGCTTCCTTGCAGGTGTTCTAATCGGAACATAAGAAGCTGGGGGGTCCAAAATCTTATACCCCTCTTGAGGAAACATAGCATCAAGCTCTTCATCAGTCAATGGGCGGTTCCTCTCTTCAATATCCTTCTCCCACCTCAACAAATTATACTGCTCTGGAGTTATGGCACCACGCAGATTGATAGCACCCGGGGTTGGTGTGGCAAGTTCAACCCCACCGACAGGAGTCACACCTGGCGTATATGCTGCTGCCGGCGTAGCACCCGCCATAGGAGTGGCACTCCCCATCGTCGCTGGGGTCTCATCCCACCTCGACCTCTGACGCTTTGGTGTCGGGGTAGCAAGTCCAGCCAATTTCGGAGTAGCATCCCAAGTCATCCCAGCTGGGGTAGCACCCGGAGTAACCCCACCAGCAGCTGGGGTAGCATCCGAATCAGCCAACCGACCTGGGGTAGGAGTCTCATCCCATCTATTCTTCCTCGACAATGATGGTGTCGCATCCCCCACCCTTCCTGGTGTTGGGGTCGCATCCCACCTCCCAATCCCGGGGGTTGAATCCGGCAAATCCCAATCTGACCCAGCCTTCACCTTCTTCGCACTTGTATCATCCTGAGACTGGTCCCACCTATTCCTCCTCTTCTGTGCCGGCTTCTCCTCCACTACTTCCCTCCCCTTTTCCTTCTTCTCCTCCTCCTCCTCCTTTTTCTTCTTCCCAATCTCCCTCAACAACTCCTCTTTCTGTCTCTTATAAGCCTCCTCCCTCATCACATCCGCATATGTCCTCACGGATGGGTCCGGGGTCTTCTCCCCATTCATAAATGGATCATTACGCTCTGGTGAAATCACCCTATTCAGTCTTCTTTTCCTGTAGTCATCCTCCCTGTCAATAATCCTTTGAGGTTTCTTAAACCCCAAACCGTCATCCTCCTCCCCTGCCCTTGGCACCTCCTTGAAATATTGTTTTGGGGCCGTTATCGAAGCCATTTTCCTCGCGATATCTGACTCCATGGGATCAAAACTCTCATCATCATCGTTAACAGGTATGGATTGTTCATAACCCTCATATCTATTAGTATCATACAAATCTGTATCAAAGGTCACCGAAGTAAGGGAGGCGAGCTCTTTCTCCATCTTTTTCCTCTCTTCCCGTGTCCTCTCAATCTCATCGTTATCCTTATCATGGTCGTACTCCATTTTTCGTAGTCTGAATCAACTCCTACCAGAATTTCAAAACCCTAACCCTCACCTAGTATTCAAGCGTCAAATGCAAATTTCTTCAGCAATCAATCAAAATCTACCAAAAAAAAAAAAAATCGCAAAATTAGGAGCCGAATCCAGCAAAATTACAAATTATTAAAACAACTAAAAAAGAAATTGTGGATCAAATGGAGAAAAAAAGGAACTAGACTACTATCAAATCAGGAATCGAGACATATTCGGGTATAAGAGTGTGTGCATGTGTGTTGTACGAGAGAGAAAGAATAGAGGAGCCAGTTTTCTGACCTGAATTAGCGACTGCGTTGAGTGACTTCCGCGTCAGAGTCGAACTGAGGGCTTTGTGGTGAAATGGTTAAAGGCAGGCTTTATTTGGATTCGCGTGGGCTATTTATTTAAGGCCTATAAAGCGTCATTTTGAGGCTTATCCGAGTTCACCGACTCACACCTGAGCCTGAGGTCGGTTTAGTTTCGACTCGGATCCCGCCCGGTATTAATCCAAATGAAATTCCGGTTATTTGGAATACCTAATTAGACTTATTTGATAAAAGTGCGTAAAATAAAATATTTTAGAAAAAAAAGTACACAACTGAAATATAAAGACGTAAATAAACATTTTAGGGTCATTTAATTTAAAATCTCTTATATATATACTTATTGTTAAATCTCTTATTTAAATTTTGAATTATTTTTAATGCCCCTTTATTTATGCGTATTTTTTTTTGAAAGTGATTTTGTTTTCAAATTATATTTAATGAACATTGATTCATGTTTTTTTTTTTTTGAAAAGTGATTTTATTTTTAAATTAATTTAATATCCGAATAGTATAATAGTGTAACAAATATACTATAACAAAAATAATATTCAGTAGTTTTGTGCATGTGATAATAAATTGAAAATGGAACTTAACTATTTTGAATGAAATTATATGAAACAATATGTTTGACAAAATATAATAGTACAATATTTTGTGTAAATAGCTTGTTACACTGTTATTATAACACTGTTACACTTTTATTGTTACACTGTTATTATTATACTATTACACTATTCGGATATTTAATTAATTTAAAAATAAGATCATTTTCCAAAAAATGCATGCATTAAAGTGTATTAAAGATAATTCAAAATTTAGATAAGAGATTTAATAACAAATATATATATATATATACACACACTTATATAAATACGTATGTATGTATAATTTATATACATATACGTTTTCATATATACATGAATACAAATTTTAAAATTCAAACAAGTATATATATATAAGAAAAATGGTGCATTACATACATATATATTAATGGAGAGTAAAAATGTCACAAAAAAAAATCAGTAAAATTCAAATAGTGTACTTAGATACAAATAAGTATCAAAATTAAGGACTTAATTATCCAATATTTTTTTCAGTATACTTTTTTATAATTAAGTTTAATTTGGTGTACCTCCTTCCAATTTTTCCTTTATTATATTCAAACGGGTCGCCCAATTAACTTGAGAATATTTTAAGGTAAAAAACACGGACCCTCCCCCTGAATTTTGGTAATATTATACGAAAATTCCCTAATATTTTTTAAATAACACGGAGGCCTCCTAAAATTTGAAACTAATGATACACAGACCCCTGTGTCTCCCTTCTGTCAATGTTGTTAATTAAAAGGGATGATTTCATCCTTCTCCAAATTTATTACTAAAAATTGATATAATTTAGCACCCCAAAAAATTGATTAAATAAATTTTAATATTAATTTGACAAAATTAAATATTATTTTATAATCTAAAGTCAATTCGAGTTGAATATTATTTGTTCTTAATCAAATCAACACGAAATTAACCTTAGATTATATTTTTGACAATATTATCAATTTTTTTGGTATTAAATTTTTAAATTTTTTTTGAACTATCAATTTTTCAAATTTTTTGTCAACTTTTTAATTAACTTTCATGTATTTTTACGTGAACCCAAGGTTTTTGAGTTTACCAAGTGCGGGTAAATGATTGGTTTTGTTCAAGTATGCGTGGTTGAATCTTGACCAAAAAAAAGTTTATCAAGTGATATAATAAGAGGGAAGACGTTATGCTATCAATTTTTTGACCAAAAGAAAGTTTATCAACTTTGTTGACTTAATATCAAATAAAATTTTATTGTTATCAAATTAATATTGAAATTTATTTTATCAATTTTTGGGAGTACTAAATTATATCAATTTTTTTGGTACTAAATCAAATTTTTAATTTTTTTAGGTACTAAATTTGAATAAGGGCAATTATGAAAAGAATAAAAAATTTTGGAATGAAATCATCACTTTCCGTGCAACATTGACAGAAGGGAGATAGAAGGGTCTCCGTGTAATGAGTTTCAAACCTCAGGATATCTCTATGTTATTTGTAAAATGTCAGACGGTGTTCGTATAATATTACCAAAACTCTGGAGGTGTCCCTATTTTTTACCCAATTTTTTACCCAATATTTTACTAATATATGGTACTTAATCTTTTTTAGTTTTCTTCTCAGTAGCAATAGATATAGTCTAATATTAAGAAAAAGGGAAAATCTTATTTTACACTTTCAAATCTATTTTAATTTTTAATTTGCATTCTCAAATATTATGATTCTTAAATTGCATAGTAAATTTAAGGGTTGAGATGTAATTGAAACCCCTGGTTTGAATCCCCACTTAGTCTCATGTGATTGGCACATGTGACACATTTCTTGTGTGATGAAATTCCCTTTCATCTTGAGAAGGAAAAGGGGGGGGGGGGGTTTAGTGGTAGATAGTGTTCAAGATCCATCTTAGATATTAAAAACCCGATCTGGATATCAACTTGGGAGAGAGATCAGATCAATGATTTACTAATTTAACCGTTAGGTTATTGGTCGAACTGATAATATAATAAAAAAAATAAAAAATAATTATTAATGATAATAAATTGGTAAAAAAATTATAACATGTAGATATGAAGAATAAGATTTCAAAAAAGAAAAAAAAAAAAAACTTTCCTATATCATGCAGATATGAAGAATATCAATAATTAGTATGAAAAACATAACTAATTATTAAGAATATCAAACTATATCTGTAAAACCCAAAAAATTTAAATTTTTGTGAAAAAGGGACAAAACAGTAATTATTCGTTATGGTGTGGATTGAAAACCCAAATTTTTTTAGAACTCGGATGAGAAAACGGATCTCACCGTTGAATTCGTCTCACGAAATCTAGTTACTCAATCAATTTTCGTCAAATTTTGAAATAGTCGGATTTTTCGTGTTTTATGAGACGATCGAATGTCGCGTGACTAAAATAAACGTCAAGCAAAGGAGGGTATAAATAGGGGAGAAAAATTAGATTTTCTCCCCATTTACACCAGCCATTTCTGGATAGAGAGAGAGAGAGAGAGAGAGAGAGAGAGAGAGAGAGAGAGAGAAGGAGAAGATAGAGAAAACTTAAGCCTCCTTCATTTCTTCTTTCGATCTACGGCAATCCAACCGTCGAATTCCTTTGGGACAAAAAAAAAGTTGTTCTGCGCAACGCGAACTACAAGTATGTTCCAAAGATCGTGGGTTTGCCAAAATTTCAAAGATGGAATTGTTGAGATCAAGGTTTTGAAGCTTGATTTGGGCCTTTTGGAGCTTCTCCTACGTGGTATTACGTTACAAGAGGTAAGATTCATTTCTTAACTAGATTTATTTATAACCTAGGGTTGAAATATGAAATGGGTAGAGGGTTAGAGATGAAATCTAATGTATAAAACATACCTAGGATTGTTGAAATACAAAAATGAGTATAGAAAAATGTTAAAACCAATTCTTGTATGAAAAGGTTCAGTGAAATTTCTTGATTGAGAATTTCATATGGCATTGTGTTGATTTGGGCATGTTATGTGTCTACATAATATTTGTGCCTTATAGGTGTTTGGTAAAATGCCTATGAATGAATAAGTGTGTTATTTGAATGAAAATGATATACATTGGAGAGATTGTTGAATGTAATTTTATGCTTTATAATATAATGTACATTGAGAAATTGGAAATGTTTGTGGAGATGGAATATGTTCATATTATGCTCATGATATGATGAACATGCTATTGTAATTGTAATTAAAAACTTGATTGCATAGTAATATGGAATGCAATTGTTCATTACATTTGCATATGCATGGGTAGCACTACATTCATGGAATATTGGCATGAGTGTGGGTGTGTGTGCATGGTTTTGATTATACACCATTCTTGGTGGGTTGATATGTGGCCTCGAAAAAGTTGGACCTAGGTTCGGCTGAGTTGCACGAGTTGCATTAAAAATAAGGGTCAGGATTAGCAAGAAGGTCTACATTCTCCCTCGGGTGCAAGACCTGGTAACTTCGGATACGCACTTCTGTTGGTATTGAGCCCATAAAGTGTGTCGGCGTACGCGGAGCCGTTGGTGAAAGTCCACAAATGCCCATCCCAAGAAAGACCCGAGAATTATAAATAGTCATTGAATGTGTAACATCAATGGCAGAGGCTTAAAATGTCTGGATGCATACGCATGACATTCCATGTGTTATGGGAGCTGGTGGAGGGCTCTGATTGCATTGCATGTGTAAGTTCCATCTCATAACATGACATGATATTTTGGTATTCATTTATAGATTGTATATTCTTAAATGAATGTTTGATTGTTGAATTGCATGTGAACAATTTATATACATCAAGTTTGGGAAGTAGTCTCCTTAGGAGATACCCTATTGCATGTGGCTCACCCTATATATGGAATATATTTCAAGTATTAGACAAACACCGGTGGACGGACCCTTACTTGGACCCGTGTTAATGATGAGGTCGGAATTTGGCTTTTGAGTTGCATTTTGTATTTAGCTATGTAAGTTGT